AAGTTAAAGTATAATAGTAATTATTTGAACGATTGTTCTTATCTGTCATTATTATTATTTATTAACAGATATGGTATGGGGCTTTCGCTGTTTGTTGGATTTGATAATAACCACCAAAATATATTACTCGCTCAAGGATTATTAATTGACAAAACCCACGAATCACATGTGTGGTTATTTAATGAAATTGTTAAAGCAACCGGTATAGAACCTGCAGTTATACTAACTGATTCTGACCCTGCTGTTGACTCAGCTGTAAAAGAAGTATTTAAATCAATGTACCCAATTCATTGTGCTTTTCACATAACCCAGAATCTTCACAAAAATCTTCGAAAGTTCCTAGATACACAATACAATCAATTTCTTATGGATTTCTATAAGTGCCGAAATAGTTTAATGAAAACCACATTTGAAAACAAATTTACAAAATTAGGTCATAATTACCCAAAAGCTAAACCTTATTTAGACAACCTATATAAATCAAAAGAGTACTGGGCACATTCATATACAAGCTTTAAATTCACCGGAGGGATGATTGCATTGTCAAGAGTAGAGGCTACAAACGCCTGTCTGAAAAAATTTTTATATAGTTCTAATATGTTGCTCAATGAATTAATGCAAAAAATACATCACATGCTTGACCGCCAAGATAAAGAATCCAAATATCTATTTTGGAAACTCGCGATTCCTTCAATCAAAAGTAACGACCAAGCAAACTTTTTATTTACACATATAGACAAATATTGTCAAACATATCTTACTCCAAATATGTTAAAAATGCAAAGGGATGAAATTAACCAATCAGTTTATTACTCAGCACAAATGATTAGTATGGAGAGTCTAAAAAGTATAAATGAGGTAAAAAATAGGTTAGTTATTTTTTACATATTATAAATTTAACAACCTATTTTTTTCTAGAATGACATTATGATTAATATTGAAGAAGAAAATCCTGAGGACCAGCATGCAACTATCCAACAAATGTTAGAAGTAGTTGGTGAAAAAAATATAGTTGAAGCATGGTTAATTAAAGTCAGAAATGCATTAGCTGCAAAACATTTTATTGTACTATTAAAAAACAATACATATCTTTGTTCATGTCTAACTATTATTCGACAAGGAATTATTTGTAGGCACTACCTTCAAGTAATGCTAAACACTAATATGGCAAAGTTTCATATTTGTCTCATTCCATCTAGATGGTACTATAAAAATATGGATGCCTCAAAAGAAACATTTATTACGGCTGACAAATACGAAAGTGAAGAAGCACCTGATTATGATATTCCATATCTTTTTCCTTTTTATAATCAAGAAAAAGACTTTTTACAGAAAAATCTTAGTCTTCTTGAACAAAAATTAGTCTACAGAACATTACATAGTATTTACAAAAAGGCAATAAGTAAAGCGTTACAGTTTAAATCTGAGTCAGATCACCTTTTAAAGCTATTGGAGGATTTTGTTCAGGAGTGTGACCAATCAGAAGATAGTTCTAGCGATGATAATCACTCAGACGAATCTACAAGTGAAAGAGAGTTTCAACTAAAAAACCCTAAGCGGTGACAAGGCAGAGGACGACCTCCAGGTATCAAGAGAATTAAAGCGTCACATGAAAATCCTGGCACCACCAAAAAAAAAAGAACTTGCAAAAAATGCGGCGGTATTAGACACTATCAAAAAAATTGTACAGTTGGTACTTAAAAATTTTTACTTTTTTCTATATTATCGTTGAAAGTATAATAGGTAGGTAATTCTACTAAGACAATGTTAAAGAAAATTACTTGAATTTTTAGGTCTATAATAATTAAAAGCGAAGATTTTAATGATGTAAGTTATCTATTTACTATTAGTCTTTATTATCTTTAGTATAAGTGCAGTTATTGATCTTTAATACTAATTATTGTATGGTCTATAAACTTGTTACATTCTAATTAATATTTAACAGAAATAGCC